GACAATCTCCACATATTGGAGAGGCCTTATAAGTAGATATTGTACCATCTCCCTACCTTTCTTGTAAGAGTACAGCACTCTGGACTATAAATATATATAAGAAATCTTTACCTCTAGTCAATCCAACTACATTGGCAATCACTAATAAAGCCTGAAATCTAGGGGGTTCCTTTTGTTAAAGATTTCATTCAGTAGTTGGAGGCTTAGCCTAAGGACTTTGGATTTCAAATACCCGACTTTTTTCAGGTTTTGGTTAAGTGTTTATTCAAAGATTGTTGATTATCCTTCCAGTTAACGCGTACATACAGAATTACTTTGTGTGCGAGTTTTTTAGTTCCATTTTTTTAGTTCGCTGTTACCTGACTGGTGTATAGTCGCCATATGGGCAGTCGGAACCTTGGACAACCAACCCACATACCTATCCCCAATAACACGCTGACACTAGGAATATGGGAAAAATTGTCCACAGCTTTATTAACAAACAGAAACAATACTAATAATTTAACATATATATATAACACATGGGTCATTGCCCCCCATCCTCCGCCCTTGCATCTATACCTTCATTAAATATCAGGGCAATGACCCAACATAAGCAACACATAAATATATATAAATAACACTTTAACTTTACTCCAACATGAACCGATTTGAATGCAACCATAAGTAACCACGGTAGGGGTATACCCAGATACCCCTACCCCACCAGGTTCTGAGCCACCTCCAGGACTCGAAAACCCACCATCGACCAGTGACCACAATTCTTCATGTTCCTCGCGTTCCTCATGGAGAGCCTATTTTTCCTTCCCTAGCTCTCTATCCCGCCGCTGTGACAAAACGGGATAAAAGAAAACAAACACATTACAGGGAGGGAGGGAGGGACAAACACAGCTAGGTAGAAATTTAATGTGCACATTTTTTAAAATGGCTGCCTAATAAATAGCCAGCCCCCATCCCATAATCCCACAGTCCTGCTTGGTCCCTCCTATGCCCGCCTCCTAACCCCTGTCAAGGCCCTTTTCCGCTAAGCTGCGCTCTGGCTACATGGGGCTACATTCCATCAGTGAAACTGATCACATGACCTTATACTTACAATATTCTATGAGCATTGAACAAAGACATGAAATTGATTATTATAGAGGAGAATACATGAAGTACAGAGGTGCAAAACATTAACCAAGCACAGCACAAAATATAAACACATAATTATTTTGAGGTTGCTTAAAGGGACAGTGCAGGCACCATAACTATTTGAACTTACTGACTTGGCTATGGTGTCTGGGGTCCGCAGATGCGGTTTCACATCAGTGTTAAACAGTTTACTCACCAATTACCAAAGTTACTCTTTCACCGTCAGCCTACCCTCAATGATAATATAGAAAAGACAAGAGTCATACCCCACTTCACACCATGCCAGGGGTAGCAGGCCGTGATATGTTGAGTGCTCTCAAAGCTCTGGTATGGCATTAATCCGCCTTTACCATATCATGATTGCAGGCTGGGCTGCAGGCTCCTGGGGGCCGAGTATCTCTAATAAATGGTAAGTGACCCATTTAACAGTGATGTGGGATGTGGTACTCACAAGCTCAACACACCATAAACACTTTAATTCATTCAAGTAGTTATGGTACCTGCAATATCCCTTTAATATGCTTAAAGAAATTCCTTCATACATAATATAGCAAAGAGTTTAAAAAGCTTAATTTGCTATTTTTATATATTATTCTACCTGAATGTTCATTGAGTGCTGGAGGTCAGTTAAATATTTATTTGTAATATGTTTGCAAACATAGTTTACTAGCTACATTGGAACCAGAAGTCCAAACATCCCCTGGTCCTTTCATCACAAAGCTATGGCCCCTATTCCATTACACCTGGATCCAAATGTACTCTTCCCTTTCCTGTGCCCTAGTAACATAGTTTTAACTATACCTGGGGGCTAGGAATACCCATGCACTTAATAAATAGATAATCCATCAATAAAACCCATTACTACAGTCTAAAGGAGATGGGGTACAGTTACACAACAGGTAAATGAAAAGTATATTTTGATCCAGGTGTTGCCTGTGTAATAATTTCAGAGTCTGTACATAGACTTATTTAATAATCAGAGGAAAATATGATTACAATAAAAGCATGCATGCTTGCACAGGACAAGGATGGCCATAGAGCTGTATGGATGCTGACAAAGATAGAAGATTAGCTCTGAAGATGCCTGAATACCTATTAATACAAAGAATCACTTATATAAATAATGAATTTGTCGATTAGAGATGGGACAGTCTGGGGTCTCACCTATAACTTGTTTTCGGTCCATGTTGGACCAACTTGTGTACAAGAGTAAAAAAAAAAGTGAATAATTATGGATACATTTATTTATTTTTTAAATAAATGAGCTGTATATTACATAACACTAAATATTTTACAGAATGATAGGTGTTAGACATGGA